CTGACCGGAAGTGGGGGCGGGGCCGCGGCGCGACGGGCAGGCGGGCGCTGAGGGTCGGGACGCGGGTTGGGCAGACGGGCGTCGGTGCCGGTTGTTGCTGATGGCGTGCCCGGAGCTTGAGACGCTTGTGGCCGACGGGTGCCCGACTAAGTTTGGGACTTCAATGGAGAGATGTGGCTTTGCCCCCAGCCCCAGCTGTCAGGGTTTTTCTCGGAAAAGCCGGACTGCAGCCAGCCTCGCCCTGAGATGACCACTGGGCTAGAATATCGGGACAAAGCACCTTCAGATGGCACCGTGAGGACCAGACTGCGACTCGGAGGGCCCCAGCGGCAGCACCACAGAATGTCAGTGCAGGGAGTGCCGGGCCCCAGGCCAGGTAATCTGCAGGAGGATGGGCATCACCACTTCTGGACCGAGTTCCTGAGTGACATCGCTCGGGAAAGACCATGGTGGTGTCCGCTTACACATTCTTTCAGAAATGAGAGGAGGACAGGAAATACCACAGGACCATCATTGCTTCCGTGCCTGCAGTGACTCCGAAGCCTATATAGCAAGAGCGAGTCTGGAATACTTCACGAAATTTCAAACATTTTTAATGGTAGTGACAAGGTACAGATTTTCAAAAACAAGGAAAAAAACCTCAGTCCTGGAAGATACTTGAGCCCGTGGAATGCACCATCTTATAAATGAGCAAAGAACCCCCACCCCCACATTAGCAAAGCTTAGTGGCTTTGACACACTTCTTGTTAGTGGCCAGGTCCAAGTTGGGTTGCTTGTGTTTGGATTAGTGCGATTGTCCAATCTAATATTTCCCAAGCCCTGTGACGGGAAGGAGTTGGGTTTAATGGAAAACCATGCTGCCAGCCTTTTGCCCGTCCTGAAGTTCTTATGAAGCAAGAAGAGCACCAAGAAAAGGAAGTTAATAAAACCCAACAGGATTTTTCTTAATAGTGGTCCCTCATCCTCACCTGCTCATGTGCTGGGAAATCGTGGTGCTTTAGGAAAAATGTGACAGGCCATTCTTCAAATCATTGGTTGAGGCAGTTTGTGAATGATTTCGCTGCTAGATTGTGAGCTCCTTTAGATCAGAGCCTCTGATTTTTAGAGTGTGGCACCCAGTAGGAAGCTTCTTTTGAATTATGCATGTCAAATTGGAATAACTCCTGGATTATAGCAAAATAAAAGAATTTGGCAAAATTGTAGCATTGGGGATGATCACTTGTGGACACAATGTTTCAGCCCAAATGGGAAAGCACATAGTTGGCAGTGTGGTGGTCGTTGCTGAGTACTGTCCTGCTGCCCAGCCTGAAAGTGTTGTGCTTTCACTTTGCTTCTAAAAGAGAAGAATTTGGCCTCAGCATTTTTGAACAGAGATTTTTCTACTGACCCAACATTGTTGAGAGTTCTGTTTTAAATTTAAAAAACAATGGGCCGAGGAGATGGCTCAGTGGAATAAGTGCTTCCCTGGCAAGCACAAGGGCCTGAGGTCAATCCCCAGTTCTGCAATAAATAAATAAATAAATAAATAAATTTAAAAAATAAATATATCTGTGAGGGGAGCAGGTTGATTCATACATATTTCAGGTGGCTCCCCCTTTGGGTATAAATAGGCTGCTGTCCCAAAATTAAGTTGAATTCCAAAATTGGTCCAAAAATCACAGAACACCTGTGTAGGAAGACAGGGTTCTAGAGACAGGGTTCTGGTTCCCCCTTTTTTCCTTTCAGTAATTTAGGTCCCTTATCTCTCATGGCCTGCGAAAGTATGATGACCAAGGAGCCAGGGAGATGGCTCAGTGGAATAAGCGCTTCCCTGGCAAGCGCAAGGGCCTGAATTCGATCCCTGGTTCCACCACAAAAAAAAAAAAAAGAAAGAAAAAAAAAGTAAGTATGATGACCCAGATCTGGTGAGGTCCACTGTGACACACTCCAGGGTCGTGACATCATTTTAGCACAAAGATGTAAATCTTTGTGTAATTACTTGTTTCTTGACTGTCTTTTCCACTAGAATAAAACCTCTACTAAGACAGAGTGTGTTTGCCTCAATTGTTTCTCTCCCTAGCTCTCAGGCTCTCAATATTTGGAAAATAAGTGCATGAGAATGATTTTACTCAAATAAGTCAGGGAAAGATTCTCAGAATTATAAAAAAAAAA